AAATGTGTTGAAAATATCAAAGCCCAACTCTCAGTAGTATTAATAATAATAAAATGGAAAACTCTACAATGAATTTTACACGTCATAAAGTCGGCATTGTTCGGAAACGCTGATAAAAATCTCGGCTTTTTACGTCTAGTCCAACCCTTTTTATTTGAAAAAAAAATACTCTTTTATTGTACAGTTTTCTCACAAAAGTCCTTAAACTCTTCTCTTTTAATGTGTACATACTCGGAATAGCCGTTTGTTTTATGGCCCGTTAAATTGTTTTTGAATTCTCGGTATTGTTTTTGAAATATTTGTTCGGTCCCGTTGAACTGAACACCGCTTTTACAAAAGGCACGTGCATAGACATTTTAAAACTGTCCATACATCAAAGAAGGTACACAGTACGTTGTTTGGGTAATTTATTGACCGATTGGAAAAGTGCTTGTTGTTTGAGTTAAGTTTTTAGAAACAAGTCCCTAACGAATTATTATAGCCAAAACTCTCAGACGAGCGACTTTAAACTTTGTTTTTTGCAACTCTCGCGAAGGTTTAAATTCTTTTTGCTTGCACAAACATCCGTACGCTTATCGGTTGGTAACACTGGCGTTCACTTTGATTCTATAAAATTTAGTTGTGTTCTAAATAAATTGTATTTTTTTATTTTATAGTTAATCGCACAAAATTAGTAGCACCTCTGAAACTAGGTATTTATTAAATTAAGATTTGCTGTATTCAATTTCGATATAAATCGTTTAGTTATGGTTTGATCGACGATTTTAAATATTATTTTCTCGTTTTGAACCTCTTTGGTAACCATTTGTGGTCACAGATATGTATACATAATAAACTAGATTGCTAACTAGTGATAAGAACGAAAGTCGACGTCCGCGATTTTTGTGGATTTTATGTATGTATATGATAATATATATGTATACCTATGATTCTGTGTTATCAACTTATCTTACAATTGTGATACAAATATATTTATGTGATAAGGCTCTAATTCCCACAAAAGTGGCGAAAAATGCAACTCCAATATTATCTCTATTGGCGGTATGTACACTTAACAATCTAGTTTATTAGATAATATTATATATATATGTATATCTGTGTTTGGAGTATACTTGTTGATTATCAGTGTAAACATGTCTGATTATTCTATCACTATGACTGGAGCTCATAAGCAACAATCGGTCCAGTATTATGTACAAAAAATAAATATAAATAATATCTATCCTCGCATGTCATTTTATTTTAATTCTAAATTATAAATATTGTCAACAACTTGTGTACAAAAATGTACTGTAACTAATCTGGATCAGGCTATTTTTTTTTATGTCTTGTCCTTTTGCCCTCGAGCCACTTACTAAATCTGGCCTCGCCTGCAGCAGGTCTCCAGGTGATATTGAATTACTTAAAAATCGATTACTGCTAGCTAGGTCGTATAATAATAACATTTTACTCGAAAAGCATTATGTCACGGTTTAACAGCTTATGTAGGCATAGGTCCTGTGGTGTCAGCCGGCCGTTATTTTATCAACCCTATATTGTCAAACTATCCGTTACGGGTCATAATATGTGTGTGTGTATACACATAACGGCTCTTGACCGGTGGAAGATCAAAAAATATTCTCTCTTAAAGAAAACACGGAATTCGATATTTACTCACAAACTATTTACTTGTGTGTTGTTTCTAATATATTTATGTCATAAAAAACCTAATATAAACATATTACATGTTTGCGTTACACGCGACCGCCTTAAGTGTAAAAGAAAAATGGAAGATGCAAATTATTTCTGGCAGTTTAGCTGTACACAACGTGTAATTTTCTTTTTTTTCCGCCTCCGGTAATGTTTAATGCTACAAAAAAAAAAACTAATTTCCACTTTAAATTTACAAAGTAATATCAAGTGTTACATACTTTGCCTTAAAAGCATTAGCTTGTACCGGGTGAACGCCCATGCGGTAACAAGAATATAATAAAAGCTTGTTGAAATTTTAACGTCGTGTTTCGACAAGAGATTGACTAATTATAACTCGGTTCAAAGATGGAATAAATTTCAGTTTACTTTGAAATAACAATTGTAAACCCGACCCAACCAAAAATAAATAAAAACAGATTGAAATGAATAAGTAAAAAAGCAAAGAAAGTATGAGAAAAGAGTGAGCGAGTCAAATGTGAGGGGAGGAAATACAAAACAGAATGGGGTGGATGATATTGTTTATAATGAAACGGACGGAAACTTATGGTTGAGAAATAGTTGATTGCATAAGAAAAGCGTGGAAAAATAACACTGGAAAACCTAAAGCAATTTTTCACAGGGATGTGACGAAGAATCAATAAAAAAACGATTTATCGTTTCATTTTAACATGTTTTTGTTTTTTTTTTTATCAACCGAGAGAACCTAAAAAACTATAAATACACATCTGACTTTGGGGACGTTTTTTTTTGTAGACCATGTGAGACCGGTAAAAAGAACATATTTGTTTCATAGGTGTCATCGGTTTTTATTGTAACATGATAAATGTCAATGTTTTTTATCTTTACCGTGGAAATACATTTTTTCTCCAATATTTCTTAGCAATATCAGATCGGATTTGTTTTTTTATGTTTTTCTGTGTAAATTTTATTACATTTTTCTACACTTTCAGATTTGGAGCCATCAAAACTTGTTAACATTTCTTTTATACCACTAAAATAGTACACAATTAATTATACAAAAATTTAACACATTCATATCAAAACAGATTTCGTTATTAATTATTGAGAGGCGATACTGATATTGAACTATCCGGTCAACAGTTGAATAATTTTTTATTAAATTTAAAATTAGTATCCATTTAGTTCAAACTTTTTTATTGTTATTTTTCTCACTGTATATGTACTCAAATAAATACAAATATTTACTTTTTTTTTTGTCTAAAGCAGTATGAAATATTTGTTTGTCGATTTTTCTTTATTGATGATTATACTTAGTAAAATGAAAATTCATCAATATAGTTAAAACGGACAAAAATGGTATTTCAAACTAGCACTTTTTTAAAAAATACTTTACTTATCGAAATGAGAATATATTTTTATGTCTCGTTTCGAAGTTATATTTTAAATAAAGTCAAAAACCCCTAAAAAGCCTTCGTTTGCTTTTGTTATTATATTAAAACAGACAGACCCCTTGTTTATTTAAAAAACCCTTAGTGTTTTTTTTTTTAGACAGTTGCGTTAAAGTAAAGAACTGTTTTTATCATGTTCTTGATGGTAAAATAAACTACAAGTCAAAAATTGGTATGTATGAATTATTTTATTTGAAAATATTCCAAATTTAATATTATAATATAAATAATGATAATCAATGTGAACATAAATGAAGCATTTAATCAAATCACTTTCAATTAAACAATACCAAAATATGTACTCTATGTATAACTCTGCTTTTGTTTACAATGTACCTCTATAAACTTTTAAGACTTAAACGGTAACGTACATGATTAATTTTTTTTTTTAATTGAAAATAATTTACTGAAAATGTTCGACCGGTCGATAACCAATTTTGAACGATTACTTTTAAAGTTATTAAAGTTTAAAATTAATGACGGCCGGTGTATAGCAATATAACTTAAACAACAAACTTAAGTGTCTATAAAATTGCAATTATTTTAAGAGCAAACTGGTGTGTGTGTTACCCTTATAAAGAATCACCCTGTATGTGAACCCAATGTGATGAATGGGTTTTTTTTAAATTAATTGCAAATAAAGTGTGCCCGAATAGTGTTGACCCGTGTTTTTTTTTTTTATCAAGTCGATAAAATAATGCCAACGACAATATTTGTACACAAGAAAATATATAAGCTGTGACACTTTAAAATTGTTTACGGTGTTGTGATTTATCAAAACGGCGGTGGGTAAACTATACATTTTTTTTTCCTTGCCAAAACCGTCCCAATTTTACTTTCTTATCCTTTTCGAAACTCTACTGTAGTCAGTGCAGTTGATAGTATAGATATATATTGTGTATAAATGCACATGACATGCTAGACCTGCCGAGGACGGCTTTGAGGTGTGTGTAAAAATAGGTATATCAATTTATGGACGGAAACCATTTTGAACGTGCAATGGATCGAATTCGGTTTGGGTATAATTTATGCGAAACTCGTCGACAACTGTCGTGCATTCTCATTTCTCGGATTAAAACATGTAAAAGCCAGTGTAGTCGTGGGTCGATAATTAATGGCCATATATTTCAATAATAAACTCCAATATTTTTATGTCGGGCAAGTACGCAGGAAAAAAAACCCAGTTAACGCAGTTAATCAAATTTGCAGTTCTTTCAATCAAACGTTTATCCGGGTCCTCTAAGATTGGACTATAGGTTACTTAAAGTCAGCAGGTAAAAGTGAAAACAGCACTGTTAGTCATAATATTTTAAAGCTCCAGACTTGTAACATAACCGTTACATGCATGCATATAAAACTGCCTGAAATATACTTGTACAATGGAAACGTGTCAAGTGAGTAACTGAATGAAAATTTATTTTTTTAGCTAATGGCAGTGTTATTAAAAATGTATAAATACCTCTTTTTAACGAGATAAGCAATGCGGAAAGCTATTAAAAACCAAAGCCCGCCGGTTAGACGTTTTTGTGAAACTATTAAAAATATTTAATATATAAGTGCACTTTGATTCACGATTGTAATCTCAGTGATTCGCAACAACAACGTCAATCCGAAACGTTCAATATTAAAATTAAATTTACCATAAACCGGGCGTGTAATAGAACAATGGGTTTTATTTCGAACAGGCGCATAAAGTTCAGAGAGTTATACATTTGTGAATACCTGTGAATTGAATAAGGGGCCATTTGTACATCTGTAAATTGCACCCAAAACGTCATCATAGTAAGACGCGAGTACACACTTAGAGTAGAAAATATAATTAGATAAGAGAGTGAGTGTAAGAAAGCAGAGTGTATTTCGACCCATTGACCATTGACCCTTAGCGCTAAAAAAACATACCTGAGGCGATGGACACTTTCTTAGACTCGTGTGTTTCGGTTGACGCGGATTGATGTAAACAAAACACTCTAAACGCGATTCGGTCAGGTCAAATCTTCATGTTTTTTTTTTTTTTTTACATTTAACGGCTCGCAGTTTGGTTGTATTTATAAACTATACTCTGTCATCGAGTGGTGGCAGCACACGGGGTCGTCGTCCGGTGAATTTTTTTTTATTATTATTATTATTATTATTTAATCCGCGGTAATGCACGTCGGCCAAGAGGGCGGCAAGTCGCGTTCCGTGGTGAACGGTCGCCAAGCTTTTGAACACTGTTGCGCGCTATTCGCCACCACCGCCAGCACCGCGGAACGGCGTAAGAGGATTTTACTGCTGCCGCACTCACACACACACACACACCTACCTGACCGTGCGCGCCTCTCTCCCCGGCGGCGGCGTTTAACCGTGTTATTGTTGTTGTTGTTGTTGTGTGTGTGTATTTTTTTTTTTTATGCGTCGCCGCCGTTCTTTCGTCTGCTGTCGGCCTGCCTTTATTCGCACAGATAAAATTGCTACATCGTAGCCAGCGCAGAGACGGCGAAGAAACCACCCTAGAAAGAATGGGGGGGGGGGAAATAGAATAACACACTCGAAAACAAGAATATCGCATATGATTGATTGTATACGGTATACCTGTTAAGATTAGCGGCTGTCGGACAAACTAGATACTACTCTAGTCTGTTTGTGAGTTCAACGATAAGAGAGTTGAGATAAGTTGAGAGCGTTTACACTTCACGCAGATACATCAATACATGTACGTGTCCTGATAATTATTTCTGATTAGCCATTATAGATGGCCGACAATTTGAAAGTGTGAAAGTGACTTCACATCTGTCTTGTTGCAATTTGGCCGACTTTTCACTGAGCTAGTTTGCATAGTGTTTGAGTTTATTTAAGTCCACTATTGACCAGTTAAATGACACTAGAGTTCTTTGAAGTATTTAACCGCCTATAATAAGTCCCTATATATATAGTGGCTGTATTTAATGACACGGTTTTCCTTGGTATAAGTTGAGAGTATTTACACTTCACGCAGATACATCAATACAATGTATATGTCCTGATAATTATATGATTACTTCCCATCTATAAACTCTTGCGATATATAATGATAGTATAGTCTTAATTATATGTTCTGGTCAAACGTTTTTCAGTAGTTTTATAATATCTGGGCCTTAATCGATTTACTGACAACATTTATCAATATTTAACATTTCTCATAATACATATTCCGTGGTTCACCATTAATTAAGTGCCTACCTAACAAATTCATTTGACTATCCTTATATATCCTTTTATCCTTATATCCTTATAACCTTATATATTATCCTTATATCTTTAATCTATATCACTAATCTCTTATCTTATATCTCTCATATCTTATCAGATATCAATCGTTGAGAGAAGATGGAAGTGGATAGGAGATATCATAAGAAATAGTACATGGATAACGAAAGCCAGGAAGAGGAAGATTTAGGCAGTCATATACAAAAAAAAATAATGTTGATGATTTTTGGATTTGGATTTTATTACAAAACAATGACTAGATGAAAAATAACCGAACGTGTCAGTACAACAATACTTATTGGATGTTCTGATGATGTAGATGAAAATTTAGTAGATGAGTCAATACAGTTTCAAGATTTAAAATCGGTTATTATCAATCCGGGTCTTAATACAGAGTATATAGAACTTAACCTACCTGCACTAATGTCGAAACTCTAATACAAAAATACTTATTTATGCCTTGCACAAACTGTACAAATGAAAGATCATTCCCCGTTTTACAAAACGCCGGGTGTCATATGGACTGTGATCAATTCACTAGCTACCGATTGAGATAAACCTGATCCGATTACACATGCACGCGATAATACTACTATTGTCTACAGTGTGATACAATAAGGTCTTCGACGAAGAAAGAGGAAAGAAAAACGGTTTAAAATTACAAAAAAACTCTTTCACACCCTTGAACAGCCCTCAGGAAATGACGTATCATTGTAACAGGAAGAAGGAGGTGTAGATTCAGGAACGCTGAAAATGGCTTTAAAAAGCTGTAAAAAAAAATGTTTATTGAAGATTTATTTTGAGGTGCTTTAAGTAGACCTTTTTTTTTGCTTGTCCGTGCCTGGCTACATATTATATTTTATGTTATAATGATTATCTGGCCAGTAACATACTTATTGCCACCAATGTTGGTAAGTTAGCACACCAACCTATCTCAAACACAAAGCGTTTGAATTGCCTAACAAAAATATGTATTTTTATGCCCTGTACTCAGCAATGGAGTAATCAAGTACGCAGATCAAAAGGTAAATTCTAATTTCATATTATGATAATGTGATAATATTATAACTGATATGGAATATATTTTTTATCTCGTGGTAGCTGTAGTGAACAAGTATGTACCATACAAATTTAATTTCGCCTACTTCATAATATTTTACTAATTGCCACCCGCTGGTGTGATCGCCGTTATTTTGACTAATAGAGTGATGAATCTTTCAATATTAGAATCCGAACTGAAAGATCCCCAGAGAAATGGAAAGGAGAGTTGTACTTTAGCTGATGAAACACCATACGACCGGATGTGCATCCGACTTGAACGGATTTAAACAGTTTTCAGTATTCATGTTAAGGAAGTGACCCCGAGGGAAATTCGAACAGGTGTCATCTTTATAATATTAATCAAAATTGAATTACAACCCAAACAGCTTAAGCTTTAGCCGCCTGACCTGCTTGTCTTGAACTAAACGACTATTAATGCAGTACTAATTGTTTACAGTCTTTAATGCTTTTTCAAACTTTTACCACATCTTAATTATTTTAGTACACCGTGTCACGGTTGCTTTTTTTAAGCCGGTTAGTAAAAGAAGTTTATGCCTTGGTAAGTTTACTCGGTAAACTTGGCAAACTAGCTGCCGTTTCCTATTATTTATTTAAAGACGCTGCATATCATATCAAATGGATTATTAACGCGGAGTCAATGCGTAGTATCTTACTGATTGTATTAAACTCCTTCTTGACAAACTTCTCGAGCGCCTCTAATTACTTCCGAATTTTCAAACCGGGAAAACGTTCTCGAGTGTGTGGGTGTGTTTGTGTGACAATTTTAAAAGACAGACGAGACCATAAACAAGGCCAAAATCGCTGTCACCACTAGGTACTGGAAATAGTAACTGTTATACTGATTTTTTAAGGACTAAAGTGTAGTGACCAGTGCTGTGCAACGTATGGCTGTAATCCTGAGAAAGAAAAATATTAAGGGTGCTTTACCACCCTACACGGTGTATAGAAACAGACATGTACACATAAGAGGATAGAAAACACTGAACTATAGAGTCTCTGTGGAACGCCCATTATTGTCTTGTACATAAGACGTTAAATGGCTTGAATTGAAAGCGGATAAATGTCGATGGAAAAACAGTGGCCACTAGCACAGATAGATAAAACCAGATAATGCACTTGGTTGTTAAAACAAATAGATTTTTTCATGTAACGATTTTTGATTGGTTTACTTGTAATGCAGTGTGGCCAAATTATAATGCCGAAAATATTGTACACGCTATAATATACAATAATAACGTTAACTGATAAGAAATACTAGATTACTAATTAGTGATAAGAATTGAAGTCAACGGCTGCCATTTTTGAGAGATTTATGTGTGTATAAAATAATATATTATGTGTATAACTGTGACTCTGTGTATCTAATACAACTTAACTTGTATTTGTTATAAAAATGCGAGATAAGGTTCTGATTCCCACAGAGATGCCGGAAAATGGTAACTTGTTGATGTTGATAACACTACAGACGGTTGATGATATCTCTTTGATCACACTGTATAGAACAGGAGGATTATTTTTTGTGCACTATCTGATTTTATCTTATCTCTTCCACTAGTGTATGAATGATTTCAGATATTTTGTAGTTTATAGTTGAAATGTGAATATTTTTTTTCTCATATTAAAATAACTGTATGGAGTCACGTCGAATGAGAGATTTACCAAAATTGTGTGTGTCAAATAGCATACGACGTTGATGGCGGTGGCCCTTAATAACTTGAGAAATCCTTTCTTATTTTTTCCTCTAAAGCGAAGCACTATAAAAAACATGACCCCCGGTGCGTGTCGCATCCAATTTATAAGCTACTATTCGTTTCTCCGGTCGAGTATTATTATGTGTGGGTAGCAGATAAAAAAAAAATATAGTTTATGTAATTTTAATAATTCATCAAAATCTGTATTTTTTTTTTGTCGTCAAAATGTATTACCTACCCATCACGTCATAACTCTACAGAAATGATTTCTCCAAATCTAATCAAGTGACGTTTATACTGTTAAATCAAGCTCCCGACATTTTATCTAAAGGGTATCATCTTATATATATTGTAACTTGTACACTAATTTTATCTAGTGTCGACCTTTGTGTCAATGATACAGTCTTCTTGAATGAGGGAATTTTAAACCATCTTACCAATTAACAAGGTAGACATATTGTTTACAATATTTTATGAAATAAACGTCTTGCGAATAAATTATTAAATCAATAATTATTTATCGACGATATTAACAATAAAGTGTTGTTTAGTTTAAGATAATAAATAAAAGTTTAATTTTGTTTTTTTGTTAAACAAAAGGCTTTTGCTTTTTTTCTTATCTGTTTTCACGCCTCGACAACTTAATGTTAACGGTTATATTAATTGAAAAAACTTTACTTTATTAGTACTTAATACATTTTTTTTATATTTTCATATTATACTTGTCTATATATATATATATATATATTTATTATTACATACTTTTATATTCTTTTTTTTTTTTTATCTACATTATAATTGTTTTGTTTTTTTACTTGTTTTATTTTTAAATATAAAAAAATAACAATAACAATAATGAAAGTCACAAATTATAGGTACACGTGATAAAGTACAGCTATAAACTTAATTGCTATAGTCGTTAAAAAACAGGATATTGGTGAGACATTATGACGTGGCTGGTTATTTTTCAATGACGGTAAATCGTTTTAAATGTGTTGCTTCGTGGTTTATGGTTTTCATATTTTAATAAACCTACAGAAGGCTTCAAGGTTCAGTTCAACTGGAAACTTACATATATATTTGAATGCAAGAACGCGTTGGGTTACACAAAAAATTAATAATTTCAACGATTCATTTAAATTTAACGGACCGATAGCCAATCACGGTTCACCATAATGTAATGTTTAAGATAGTATTAAATATGTATGTATTCACTAATTGAAAAATTAATGAACGGTAACGGAAACCGGTATAAGACGGTTTAATACTATACAAGTGGGATAGGAGCCCAATATATACTCAACAGCAAACTACACGAATTTAGTTTCTATTAAACTAACTTAGAATAACTGTTTATATTGCAAAAAGTAAATTTTTATACAAACATTCGTTTTAAAAATAATATTAAGTAAACGAATTAATAATACCAATCGACGTTGAGGCTTTGACAAAAATTCAAAATGATCAAATGACATTTTAAAAAAGCCAGTACAGTGGGGTCGAGGCATAGTGGGGACGGAGAGGTCACAGGTCTAGAGATTTATTATAACTGAAAGTGATAAAATCAGATTTTTCAGAATCAGAATTTGACTCAGATTTTTGAGAAAATTGTATATGTTATAGTTCCATTTTAGATCTACCTTTGGTCTGATTTTCAGATCTAAATCTCTAAAACTTTGCTTAAAAAAGTGAAATAAAGAAAAAAATTCTATCCCTTCTAAGGGAAAGGGCTTATGATATTTTTTTTGGTTTGTTAATGTTTATCGATAGTACTATGTTTGAAGAACAATTCATATAAATTTGGAACATTGTCGACTATTTTTAAAAAAGTTATAAAGCATCGTAATTTTAAGTTGAAAATTTTGTAAATTTTTTAGGTGTTTTTCTCGATTTTGATGGGGAAGGGGTGACTTTTTTAATTTTTGGCCTGTTGAAGTACCTTTCAGGTATGATTTCTGATCTATAGAGTTGCTACACGAATAAATCGGTTCAGCGGTTTACAAGATATCGTAGGTCCAGCCACAAAAATAAAAAATTAAATTAAAAAAATAAAACACATCATTGTAAAAACAATACCTTCTCAGCTCCCAATCGAAGCTTAAATATGTTGATGAATACAGTTTTTTGGTACAAAAGTTAAAAAATTTTCAACCTGAAAGCTGAAATTGTTGTTTTTATGAGATTTGATGTTTTTCATTAATACCAGACATGTTAACAAAAATTTAAAAAAATGATTAAAAAATCTTTTCAAGTTATTTTGAATAAGAGATGAAATGATTTTTTGTCGTTTTATTTACGCCCAGTTGACGACGCGCTCATTACTTTTGAACTTGTCGACCGAAAAAATGTTTTGCTTTATACAAGTTCAAAAAAAATTGAACAAAAATGAAAAGGGAACACGAGTTCAGACACCTTGTTAATTATGTAAATGGAACGGCCATTTTTCAATTAGAATATTATTACTTTACTCATCTTTTACAGGTCATCAGTATTTATAGAGATTATTGTGTTTGTTATATGGTTTTTAGAGTCTTCTAACACAGTTTGTTCGTGGATAATAATTATTATCGATCAGACCCTTTAAATGTGTTTATGGCACAACATTTTGACGAAGGCGCTTTCTCGCGAATCAAGTTTAATTGACCGATTATTATAGTTGAATATGACTTGAATTAGATTCTGTTCACACATTTCAATAGAAACTGATTGAGTTCAAAATACAGCCTCAGTTTAATTCAATATTACAAATTATATCAAAAACATGTGTAAATACAATTATTGTTTTGTCAAATGAAGAGTTAAAAAACAATTTTACTTAACATAGAAATAGATTGGGAGCATAAGTCACTTTGCTAAAGAAACTAGCATTATAGCATAAAGAAGGATATAGAAATCATTGAAGAATGTAATTTTTTAAATCGCCCATTTTTTAAATTTAACACTACACAAAATCCGAAATAAATGTATGAAAGCGAACTTGCAAATCAACTGATTATACAGGTTTCAACCCCAAAACCAATGGTACACTTGAACGATAACGTTTGCACCAAAAAATGTATCAAATTTATCGAAACTAATGTTCTCTCTCTACAAATTTCATTCGGCTCTAGTTGACCAACTAAAATCTTGTTAATGTAATGTTATCTGATAATGTTACTGTTTTGATGATTATAATTATTATGTTTAAATGGTATTCTAACTTGTGCGTACTTACATTTTTGTTGGCAGCCGACATTTATGACAATCTGAAGAAATGTATAAACCCGGTGGAGTTGAATGTCACAACCCAAATATTGGGCGGCGGATGGGTGGAACATGGCGAAAAATCTATTCTAGTCGAAGGAGCATCCGTTGTAAGTTAATCCAGATATTTTATTGCTGTATCAACACAGCATGTACGCATTTTTTTCATTAACGCGGGGTTTTGCAAGCTTAATATATTTGTATGAAATTTCGAATTGCGTGTGTCAACACTATTCGTCGTTTCGGGTAAAAATAAAACCAACAGTTGAGATTATACCCAAAAAGAGAACAAATAGAAATCTCGTTTATTTCTTTTAATTTGAACGCGTTTTCGGTTATTTAAATTATGGCGTGGTGCAATCCGTTAAAATATGAAAATAGCTGCCGCCAAATAGTTATTAAATTATAAACTAAAACGCAGCCACGGTCTTTGGTGTTCAAATAAACCAAGAATAAATTCGAAAACAAACAATATTATAATTTCAAGTAAAAAACACAGTATACGACTTTTTTTATGTTCGGATCAAATTAAATTGAACGTTATAACTTGTCTAAGAAACTAGCAAATAAGTTTGCGCTAACCAAACAACCGAGTTGCCAATTTTAAGCTGTATCGTTTGCCGGTTGTATTAAAACTTTATCTTATGCAAACAAATATCCATTTCATTCATAGATTCCATATTTTTTCGAAACAAAATCTAGATTTGATCGAATTTTATATTATCATATCGATAACAAGATTGTCAATAACAAAAAGCAAATGGATTTCTTTTTCCTTGTTAAAGAATTTGTATTCGAGATATGCTAATAAAAAAAACTATTGGTTGCTTTATTCGTTTTCAATAAAAATAAAAAAAAACCCTGTAAATCGCTTTGTCAAACAAAAACGGAAATCAAATATTTGGTTCTGTGTTGGTTGAGATTTTCACTCTGGAATACAACTTGGTATACGATACTTCCAGGTAAAAAAAAAAATAGCATTTTTACAGTTCATTAATTCCACTTCCCAAAATAGCTACCATGTCTACCATGTTAATGTTCAATGGTAAAGAAAAGTTTAGCTAATATTGAAAAAGTGTTTAGTTGTGAAAAACTTAATTGATTTTTAATTCATATTTTGTGTATTCTTGACGAGCTCTTTTTACTGAGCTTAGAAACAACTTTCTATCTCTTATAGAGAAAATTAGGCTTTTAAAAGATGTAACACACAGACTTTTTTTTATTCAAATCATATTGGTTGTGAAATCCGATCTACCTATATATTATCTTATGTTAAAGCTAAGCCAAATACTTATCTTCTCACTGTTATTAGTGCGTTATCCCTACGACTGTAGCAAACAATTTAGACAAGTCTTTACTGAACTCCTTAATAATTAAATGTCCTCGCTAAAATATAACAATTAAAATTACCCTTTAGGAAAAACGCAAACATATTATTATTATTATCGCCCGAATGTCTTTATTTATGTATTGTTTGTTGTACTTATTAAGACACCGTATTGCACCAAGTGAAACTAAAGGTTTAAAATATTACATCTTTAATATTAATTAAGGTACAACACTTGACCTAAAAAACGTATTGTCAAACAAGTATAGTATTTATTATGCGCGCTTTTCATATTTACACATGTGTTCTTAATGCACACACACACACATACAATGTATACAAAAGACCGTTAAAAGTTGTTTTTATGAGAACGAATAATACTATAATTTATAATATTATACTTAGCTATTATATATACATTATCTACATAACCCGTGAGGGGAGGGGGGCTGTTCTTCATAAACTTCCCCCCTCATATTGAACGGATCTTTACTTACCGTTTATCAAATATAATATTATGTTGTATATAATAACAAAAATATGAATAAGTTCAAAAGTTTAAAAAAATATCCCGTCTTGACAGTCTGAGAATAAGACACATTTTTTTATGGGCAACGCTGATTAGGATTATTTTTGTATAAAATAAAAAAACGAATCCCAATTTTGTTTAGATAAGCTTTCTAGTAGTTCTTGGGGCATGTCACTCTGTCGGACATGCGTTTTGAAGTTTTATTTAACTCAATGGTAACGTACTAAGTAAGATAGATTAGATGTACTCTTCATTGTTATCTACTTATTTCATAAAAAAAAATTAATTCCTAGCATCCATTAAAAAAAAGTCAACGCTAAATTAAAAAATTTAAATAATCTTTTCAATTTTATTTTTTTTTAAATAGCTTTTAATAGCTGCGTGGCTAAAAAAAAAAAGCAATTATCAATTATATTTTAATTAATCCGCTAGAAAGGACCGAGGTTGATTCATAAGCTTCGCATAACTTCACTAAACTTCACGTGCATGTTAATACATAATATTTGTTTTTTAAAAATAAATCTTCACAAAACACAAACAAAGAAAAACACACAGTCCACATACTAGTTTTATTTAAACATTCTTAGAATTTGGCTATCTGATATAAGTATCTAATTGTTGCATAAAACAAATATGGCCATAAGTTTCATACCGTAGAAGTGTTTGCCAAACAATTTTATTTAATCTTATGTAATAGTGTAGGGGTAAAGTTGGGCATTTTATAAATATTTGAACAACTTTAAATTCATAGATATATTTCTAAAGTAAATAGATCAATGCGCCCACAACAAAATATATTAGACAATTTGTACTTGAAACTTGCAGAAGGTCGTTGACCAAACAAACACATTTTTCAGAAATAGCTAAAGTGATATTTCATTTTATTTGTTTTGTACCTACTATTATTTTTATAAGTAGTATATACTACGCTTTGAAATTATATACGAAAATAGATGACTAATTAAACAATAAAAATTGAATATGTTATAGCTCCGCTCTAGTTACTTCCTTTAGTTTGTTATTCAGATCATAAGCTAAACATAAAAGAAAAATATATGAAAAAATGTCACCCCTTCTTGTGGGTAAAAAGGCTTTTGATATTTTTCCTTGACTTTGAAGTGAAAGGAGTGAACTTTTATCCTGTTAAACGTTGTTATGATTTTATTTTTGTGTAACCAACAATATATTATGACAATAATATTGTAATAAATCAAATAAAGATTAGTTAGATAACAATAGCAGAAAAACAAGTCGTTTGACATTTGACAATATTCGTATTATTGAATTCACTGCAAATATATAATAATTGTTTTTTTATATATTATATTTTTATTATACACTTATGGCCTACTTAAAGGCAACCAAACTCATGTATATTTTATGTATTATCACATAATTTATTGTATCTTATCACTTATCTCTTATCTCCAACCTCTTATCACATCAATTGTTTCTTATCTCTAATCTCTCATCTCTGATGTTAAAAACAAAATTTTTAATTTAAAATTAATAGGAAATTTATTTTTACTGTCATTCAAATTATCGTTGACGACAAGCTTTGAACAGCTTCTATTCTATTAGTATAGGCTATGTACAAAAATTGGTTTAGCAGTTAATAGATAATACCATTCATCCCCAGTCCCACATCAGAGCTCAAACCTATATTGGTATATAGGTATGTGAATAGTATATGAAATATGTAATATGTATACCATGCTTTTATATATGTAGGTACAACAATAAGTATGACCTTCGTGAAAACCTTATTCAAACTAATATTACAAAATTATGGGTGTATAGTTTGTGTATTTTCCATGCTTAAGAATAGTTTTGAGAAAACAAAGTAAACAAACGAGTCGGAAATATTCGAGTTGAAGACGGAAAAGACACTTTTGACTTGTTTAACAAAAGAACAAGTGTTGTGCCACGATTGGCATTCGTCGGTAAAATATTCGGTTACAGCTGTTTATAGTAGTCTGATATGTAATCACTGTAAGGGGTGTTTTTAAAACCGTCGAATTTCGGGTAAAATCGCGTTTCCTTAGAGATTATTTCCTTAACGTTTCCGTTGAAATGGCCATCGTTAACAGAACGTATTCCGAACTTTTGCACGAATTCATTTTTGCTTCTTGACCAACGCTCTCGTAGAATTCTGTTAATAATGCAACCATAGTTTTGTCCAGCACTTGGATTTCTTCAAACGTTTTTCCCGTACTCGACGCAAAATCCAAGTAGCTCTCGATGAGTTTCGCCATTATAAGTTTGAGTATTTTAACAATGCCGTTTTTAATGTGCCACAGATAAACAATCTGTACGTTCAACGCGACGTCCAAACTCATCGCGGTCCCATACATTTCGTCCAATCTGTTTTTGACATTTTTATGTCTTTGCTATGGCACACACACGGAAAATCGACATCGACACCGCTTATCATAACGAAAAATAACAGGCGATTTATCTGATAAGATAAGATTGATAAGGGTAAAAGATAAGAGATATGGTTTTTACTTTGGAACACAACCAGAAAAATCGATACCGACCCCGGTTATCATAACGAAAAATAACAGCTGATTTATCTGATAAGATAGATAAGAGATAAGGGCTGAGAGATAAAAGGTAAGAGATGAGAAAGGGTTGGGGGTATATATGTTGTATTCACGACGTTCAAAATAGAAATTAATAATAAATTCAATAATTTAAAGGGCCAAATTCTCTATGAATTGGTTTGGGCCAGATATTATGAAAACACTAAAATATTAGCCAGAAACTTGATATGTTTACTAGCTACTTTAGATACATAAAAATGTATCCCGTGGTATTGCGGACTCGTACGCAAGCTGTTAAAATATAATATGTAATACCTATGTGAAAACCTTTAATAGAGCCTTTTTTACATCGGTCCAGTAATTTTCTCCCAAGTACTCGACAACAATGCGTTTTACGCCGTCCGACTTGTGTAAAGTTATACTCTCAAAGTGTACAAACCGCTTGCTTTCGGTCGAAACGCCACGCCATATTCTGTTGAACGCTATTTGCCTGCTAAGCATTTTTTTTATTGCCACAAATCGATTGCCTTCGTTTCCTGCCGTCCGAGGTTTGCTCTTCGTTTATTTCGTCCAACTTTTCTTGGGCGCCTCCGATTTCATTCGTATAAGATTCCACAAACAACCGTAGAGACTCCTTGACGGATTGGTGAACTTTGAACATGTATATTTTGCTTTGGAATTCCTTCACCGAATCTACCAAATTTGCGT